ATGACGCCGCCCTTAAAAGCCCAGTCTTAGCCCAGGTGAATCCCATCTACCTATGCCCACACCCTACTCCAGGTGCCCGCCATCAGGCATGCATTCAGGACCACAAGGATCCATCATCTATCCTGATGGCGGGAGGGCAGAAAAGCCTGACATTTTTCCTTACCTACAATGGGCCTGCACTGTCCAGAACTCTGCTTACCCATAAGTTTTATTCTGTGGTTCACAGCTTGGTAAATAAATAGCTAAAACTGATGAATTGCTCACATTCTACTAGGCTCTGTTATAATCTCTTACGAATACTAAGTCATTTGCTCCTCACAATAAATCTATACAGCTGATATTATTATCCCCATTTGACAGAGAAGGAAACTGAGGTGCAGAGATATTTTTTTTTTTAGGTTTCACATGGCTAGTGAGTAGAGAATCTGAAGGTTGAACCTTGATTATTTGCTGTCAAAGAGCCTGATACTGCTCTGCCATTAGTAGGGAAGTCCTGATAAAGGGTCAGTATGGAAAATTAAACAATATAGCCTCCAGAAGATGATTAACACATGTCATAAACCAGGGTGGCTAAAAACAAAAAGGGTCGGAATAGGAGTAGATCAAAGTATTTTCCCTTAGTTGGCTCTGTTTCAGGACATGTGATACCTATTCCTCTTAAAGGCAGAGAGGGATAAAACAAGGACGGCCCTAGATGTAATTTGTAATGTGGTTTAAATGCAATAACACTTAGGTTAACCACTAGTATACCATCGAGTTGATGCTGTTGGAGATGTTTATTCAGTCAAACTACCAATCTTGCTCAATTTCTAAGGTTCTGATCGAAAGTCAATTATCCACTATTATAAAAGTAAGAACCTGGGCCTCCCTGGTGGGGAAAAGGGTTAAGACACAACCTATGAAGCCATCCGCAGCCACTGCAGCACAAGTTCGATCCCCAGCCAGGGAGCTACCCACATGGCACAGCAGACCTCTCCTGTTTTGCCCACTGCTCCCCTCAGCAGTGTATTTCAGTCAGTCTGTCTGTTCTGCTCCCCACTCTCTCTCTGGTGAATCTTCTCACCTCCCACACCTCTGGCCTGTACCCCAGTTCTTGTATGCATAAAAAAATTTTTAAAAAAAGGTAAAAACCTGAACAGATAAGATGCATCCTATCAATATTTCCAGGCTTCTGGTGAGTGAGGTGGGCAGGTAGGAAAGCTGCACCTCTTACCAAATCTCACTGAACAAGGCTCCTGTGAATGTAAGGGTATTCCATTTTACATGTGTGCCGCATTGTTTTGGCAGTAAATTGAAAGTACAAAGCCAGGAGAGGGTCCAAACTACATTACACTCCCAGGAGGCAAAGGGGAAGCTCTATCATTGGAAACGCCCACCAAGAGTTTTTCTTGAGACACTCATTCCTTTCAGTCCATTCTGAATCTGGAAAGAAGGGGTGACTAGACAAATAGGTTAATTACTCAGGTTGACAGGATCTCAGAAAGTGCTAAATTAGACTTTGGGAAGTGTTAAGCCAGTGATCAAAGAGATGGCCTGCCTGTCATCAAAGATGCACCATTATTCTCAAGGCCAAAATTGCTGGGGTTAGATTTTCTTTTTACGGTATCGATCATATATTTTACTTGCTTGACTGGTTAAAGAACAAGTTTGGTCCTGTCACTAATTTCTTCAGGGTTAAATGTGAAAGAATTTTAAAGATTGTTTCATTTACAGGAGGAATATAGGGGAAGCAAATAAGGGATCACGGGGAAAATAACAATAAATTTAAAATAAACAAAATTAACAAGCAGCTATAAATCAGAGACATTCTGCAGAGGAGGGGGAGAGAGAGGGATTATAACAGGGGAGAGAAGAGCACAAGGGACCGTGGTGATGGTTCACGGTGACTTAGTGGTGGGAATTCTACACCTGAGAGGAGAAAGCAAACATTATACAAAAATGAACAATGATGTAAAATATATACAAATAAATAAATTATGTAAAATTTTTTTAAAAAAAAATTGTAAAACATCAGTGCTTATTTGAATGGTCTCCTAGTTCTCATTGTCTTTGAATAACATTTATTATATGCAATTTATGTTCCTTTTAAGCTATTTGAATAGCCTTTTCTCCATTTTGGGTCTGGCTAAAATAAGCTCCAACATTTATTTATGATTCTCTTGACCACTGAATTATTTTTTTGTCATGCTCTCAATATTATTATGCTATAAAGCATTGGTTATTAAAGTTTTGTTCATTTTTATAATTGTATTGGCTAAAAAACTTAATAATGGGCCTCCCTGGTGGCGCAGCGGTTGAGCTCTGGGTTGCGAAGCTGCCTGCGGCCTCTGCAGCGCCAGTTCGATCCCCGGCTGCTCCCTGGCCACCAGAGGAGGATTCCACATGGCGCGCAGACCTCTCCTGCCGCCCGCTGCTCCCCTCAGCAGTGTACTTTGGTCCTTCTGCCTGCTCTGCTCCCCGCTCTGGCTCTGGTGAATTCCGCTGCTCCCCTCAGCAGTGTACTTCAGTCCTTCTGCCTGCTCTGCTCCCCGCTCTGGCTCTGGTGAATTCTCTCACCCTCCTGCGCTTCTGACTGTACCCAGTGCTTGTATAAACAAATAAACAAATAAATAAATAAATAAAATACTTGCCTCTTTATTAAAATAAAAAAAAAAAAAAAACTTAATAATGTGGGCCTCCCTGGTGGCGCAAGGGGTTAAGTCATAACCTGTGAAGCTGTCCGCAGCCACTGCAGCATGAGTTTGATCCCTGGCTAGGGAGCTACCCACATGGCGCAGCAGACCTCTCCTGACTCCCCTGCTGCTCCACTCAGCAGTGTACTTCAAGTCAATCTGCCTGTTCTGTTCCCCACTGTCTCTGGTGAGTCCTCTCACCTCCCGCATCTCTGGCCTATACCCCAGCACTTGCATGCATAAATGAATAAATCTTAAAAAAAAAAAAAAAGAATTATTTTAGAGGTAGGCCAAATATCTGAGTGGCAGACATGGTATAGTTCTCCTGATATCTTCTCCTTCTCTGCATCAGCCTCATAGCCTTCAGTCATTTTTCTGTCACTTAGAATGAGTCTATTCATAGAATTCCCTTCAGTCTTTCACTCAAACCTAGAGTGTTTACCCTTTTCACCCAGCTAACAAGCCCAGATATGCCAAATCCTAAATGCACACAACATCACTGTTTAGGTGTAGATATTGTCTCAGGGTTTGTGATGTTTCACATTTTTATTAGGCATTCAACAACATTCTCAATAGACCTGTTTCCTTTATTTTTGATAGCTAATATATATTTAGCAACTACTATATACCAGGCACTGTCCTAACACCCTTACCATTATCGACTCATTTAGTATTCTCAATCTCAGGTGGGAGGTGCTTTTGTTGTTTACAATTTATAGATGAAGAAACTGATGACCTGATAGTTGAACTCCTACAAAAGATCACACATCAAAAGGAAAAGACCCAAGTCTCCAAATCAAGCTGCCTGCCCTCAAAGCCTGCAACAAGAAGCCTTGCTCTCTATGGTTACACATTAAGTCTAAGGGAATCCTATAGATTGACTCAGTTTCATTTGGAATATTGCTTTTAAATTGACATCGTTTCTAATTACATTTATTTTTTTGGTCTCAGCTTAGTTGTTCTCATGTTGCTTTTAACTTACATTCTCTTGCAGAACAAAATTTTGTTAAAGTCAAAAAAAAATATTTTCTACCCAGTCCATATAGTAAAGCTATATAAGGTTATAATCTTTCAATGTTTCTTTTCAACCTGCCCCCACGTTGGTACTAGCAAATGATCTCACAGCTGGAATAAAATTGCTCTTTTAAAAATCAAAATCAGAGGGCCTCCCCTGGTGGCACAGGCGGTTGAGCGCTGTGCTGTGAAGCTGTTCACAGCCTCTGCAGCACCGGTTCAATCCTGGCTGGTCGGGGAGGGTCCCACATGGCAGACCTCTCCCGTAGCACCCGCTGCTCCCCTCGGCAGTGTATTTCTTTTTTTTTTTTTTTTATAGAGGCATGTTTTATTTATTTATTTATTTGTTTGTTTTGTTTATACATGCACTGGGTACAGTCAGAAGCACGGGAGGGTGAGAGAATTCACCAGAGCCAGAGCGGGGAGCAGAGCAGGCAGAAGGACCGAAGTACACTGCTGAGGGGAGCAGCAGGCGGCAGGAGAGGTCTGCGCGCCATGTGGGACCCTACTCTGGTGGCCGGGGAGCAGCCGGGGATCGAACTGGCGCTGCAGAGGCCGCGGGCAGCTTCGCAACCCAGCGCTCAACCGCTGCGCCACCGGGGAGGCCCATCAGCAGTGTATTTCATCAGTCTCCCTGTTCTACTCCCCGCTCTGTCTCTGGTGAATCCTCTCACCGTCCCCCTCCCCCACACCTCTGGCCTGTACCCCAGTTCTTGTATAAATAAATAAATATTTTAAAAAATCAAAATCAGAGACAAACCCAGACAAATGGTAAAGCATTTGTTCTCTTGAGCTTACAAATAGAAACCTCAGGTCAACCTGAAGAACCCACTCTTAACCTCTGTGGGGGGAAGTATACATTTTGGGACTTGGAGGTGACTGCTGCCCCCTTTATCCTGAACCAAGGGATGGGAAGTTCCACTGCCCAGGTCTGCAAATCTGTCTTGTTTGGCAACTCATGTGTGTTAATCATTCACCTCAAGTATTTCTTAAAGAGTATTTATTCCCGAAATAGAGATGTGGAAGTCAGCTTATGCCACTGAGCAATAATTCCATCTCCTGTAACTTTCCCATAGAAGTAAATCTGATCAATGTCACTGTTGTTGAAATTATACAAGTGAACCAACTATAGAGTGGAATTTCCCCCCTGGCTCCCTCCCTCTTGTTTTCGTGTACTTTGTAACCTGAGGAGAAGTTTCCATGAGGAAGCAGAGTTTATGTTGAGGTTACTGTGTGATGTATGGAAGATCTCAAACACAGAAGCTGCCTTTACACTTAAAAAAAGAATAAAACTCTGTTGTGTCCACGACTGACCTGTGCAAGTAGCTAAATGTTTTCCTTTGCAGAGGCGTTGGCAAAGCTCATTTCCTCACGTGAGAATCTTACAAGATGCCCACTGTTCTCAGTTCTGACGTCCCCATGGTGATAGAACAACCTAAATATCACGGCCCATGAGGGATTTTCATCCCTTGGCAATGATGTTCATTCATGATTGTACGGCAACATCCTTTACTTAGGAAAAGACTTCCTACTTGATATTTGCCCAAATAGAAGCTAAATATAAATATAAAGAAGGAGAATTGAGTTGATTAGCTAATAATCCTGGTTAGCATTTAGATTATTTGAAACAAACACAAACAGGCTTATCTCTGTTTTGTTTAGTATATTTCTTTAAAGCCATGTACCTCTGCATATGTAGCTATACCTGAGATGAAAGCTGTTGAAGCTTTTTCAGCTGATTTCTGTATTGAAGATTGCATATTTTTTATCTTTCCCATTTCGTTTTTATTTTGGAAATCAGTATAATCATGTGGACATTTCTGAACCACACCATTTAGTGGAATTGAATCAAGAAGAAAAGTATTTTCCCTGCAAGTTTTTGACACTTGACAGATGATGTTTACATGTATCTACTTTCTAAGAGACTTCCCTGAAATCTAACTTGAGATCTAATTTTGAGGCTCTTGCTTTGGGTGCTGGTGCTTAGATTTATAGGACGTATTAAATTCCATTGAGTCTTGATCTCTGGAGCCAACTTAGTTTCAAATGGAGAAGTTTTGACCATCAGCACAATCTACTTCCATAGAAATCAGGACCAACTCCTGGTTTCCCACATCCATTACACTAGGGACTTTTCTTATTTGTAAGGTGAAATGGCACAGTGGGGACTTGGGAGAACCGTGAGGGGGATATTGGCTATCTCTTTTATCTTGCATAGGCTTCATGCTCTGGGTTTAGTTCCCCACACAGGAAAATAAAGGTTAGCTGAATGAATAGGTAAAAGTTAAAACCATCTAGAGAGAAGTAATCATTGATTTATTTAGTTAGCTTTTGCCTGTTGGCATTTTTAGCCTCAGATAATTGGTTGTGTTGTAAAATGGTGCTTGTTCTTCCACTGGGAGCTAATAATTTTCTGTAGCAATACTAGAAAAAGTGTTAATGGGTGTTCCAATGTGCCTGGCTCAGTGATCCATGCTTTATATATAATTACTCATCACATCCATACAAGCCCCCTACAAAGCTGAAATAAGTTGTACTATTCTTTTCATTTATAGATGAGGAGTTTGAATCACAGAGAGGTGTGTATATTTTGAGTACTTATTAAATTTAGTCTATGGGGAAAGTGGAACAGAATGACAACAGAATTAATATTTATTGAGTTCCTAGTCTATACTGGGCATACTGAAATCACTGTTTAATTTAAAACTAAAGAATCCCCAGATGAAAGATTTTTAACCCTCTTTTAGGCAGAAGACTTATGTGCTGAGGAATGAAATAGTATACTTGTAGGGTAAGGTGAAAGGTATCAGGCTTTTCTGCCCTCCCACCATCAGGATAGATGAGGGAACCCTGTGATCCTGAATGCATGCCTGATGGCGGCCTCCTGAAGTGGGTACACCTGCGCTAAGACTGTGCTTTTTAAGGGCGGCGTCACAGGGACACCAAAAGCCAAGAAAGCAGCAGCAGAAGCCAAAGAGAAAAGCCGAGATCACCAGAGAGCCCAGATACAGTGAGGATTTGCTGGGGGCTGGGAGGCCTGCCAGCCTCCCGGCCCCCCAGCACCCCTGCCTGCCATATGCCTGGTGAACCCCAATAAAAGACCTGCAAAAAGCCACTGAGGACTCTGACTCCTCCTTTAACTGGTCTGCATGGGATCAGGAAACCTGCACCGTGTCTATTCTTGCCCCTTACAATACTGAATATACTTAACTAGAAAAGGGGAGTAGCACAAGATAAATCCAGGACTCTTCAGAATCTGCCTATTCAAGAAAAATGTGGGCTTAAAGCCCCAAATAAAGGTGTCTGTAGGACAAGTTCTCTCTGGGGGCCAGAGGACATGAGCTCTCTCTCCTTCGTTTGTAGACAGTTCTCCCCTCTCCCTATGTCTCTTCATAGGTTAAAAAAAAAATAGTATCAGGCTTTTCTGCCCTCCCGCCATTAGGATTGATGATGGATCTGCAGTCCTAAATGCTTGCCTGATGGCGGGCACCTGGAATAGGGTATAGACATTTGTAAGTGGGTACACCTGGGCTAAGGCTGGGCTTATAAGGGCGGCTCATGAGGACTCTAGGAGAGCAGAACGAACAAGAGAACAGGATCCTCACCAGGGAAGAACAGACCACGAGAGAAGGCCGGAGAGCCCAGAGAGAGTGAAGATTTGCTGGGGGCTGGGAGGCCTACCAGCCTCCCGGGCCCCCCTCCCCACCCCCGCCCCCCGCACCCCTGCCTGCTGTGTACCTGGAAATCCCAATAATAGCCTGCAAAAGCCACCTAGGGCTCCAGGATTCTCTCCTTTACCCGTCCATCTGCTCGGTCATAGAGATCCTGCTCCGTTCCATCCCACCGCTACAGCATTGCATGTCTGTGTACCTGTTTCTGTGTCCAACTTTCTCCTTTTTATAAATACATCAGTCCTATTGAATTAGGGTCCACCCTAATAATCTCATTTTTACTTGATTGCCTCTGTAAAAACCCTGTTTCTACATAAGGTCACACGCTGAGGTACTGGGAGGTAGGATACCATATCCCTTTTTGGGGAGAAGAGACAGAATTCCACCCACAACAGTATTTAACCTCAGACTTTTCAGAAAATGAAATAAAGTAGGCACCTATAATGGCATCTAAGGCCCTGAATACAGTTTACTTGGCATTTAATCCTGATTTCAGGCGTGGTTAAAAACAAACCATTGCCTAAGGAATGAAAACAAAAGAAACACAGAGGGGCTGACTATAGATGCTGGAACTTGTTCCACTGGATCTGCCTCTAAGCTGTGAGCTGTTCTGCCTCTCCCTTATGCTTGAGACCCCAGGAAGAAAAAGGACATCTTGCTTGGATCTCCTGTGCGATTCTGGTTCCATTGGCACGGTGGCTTGCACCCTTCCACACTCTGGAGCAGCTGAGGGTGGGGGAGGGTGTTTCATGTAATTGGAGGTGCTCTGCTGGTCGGCTGCTTAAGCAGGAACACCTGACTTGGTTTCTCTACCTTCCTTCAGATCTGGCACTAAAACAACTAGTTTCCACAGTGCCTGTGCTTATCTTTAACCATGATAAGCTGCATTCCCTCTTTTCTTAGGGTGTTTGCCTTCACATTTTGCCTATTTGGCTTGTGAGATAAATGTAAGTTTGAAATTCATCTCATGGACTGACATGGGATACGAGGTTAATCCTGGAGACACTTAGAGTACAATGATATTCAGGTGCAGATTTATCTGGAAATATTCTCAATGTTCAAGGACAAGTGTTCTCTGTAATGAGATTCTGACAGTTCACAAGAAAAAAGATAAGAAAGACCTCTGAGGCCAAATTGGTGGTAAATGTCGCAGCATTGTTATCTCTGCTGATAACGGACTTGCTGTTTATTATGAGATGTGTTCTATTGTGGTGATGGGGTGAGGAACAGAGTAAATTGGAAAATGCAAAAATGGATAATATTTTCTTGCATACACATGCAGGCCTGTGTGTCTGTGTGTCTGTGTGTGTGTATCTGTGTGTGTGTGTGTGTGTGTGTGTGTGAGAGAGAGAGAGAGAGAGAAAAAGAGAGAAACCCTGAGAACTATTTTTGAATATTCATCACCTGCTTGTACAATGCACAAAGGCATAATTAAGTCAACAACCTAGGAGGATCCTCATTTATTTTTTTAATTTTTTTTTTAAATTTATTTATTTATGCATACAAGAACTGGGGCACAGGCCAGAGGTACAGGGGGGTGAGAGGATTCACCAGAGGCAGAGTGGGGAACAGAACAGGCAGATTGACTGAAATACACTGCTGAGGGGAGCAGCAGGTGAGACAGGAGAGGTCTGCTGTGCCATGTGTGTTGCTCCCTGACTGGCCGGGGATCGAACTCGAGCTGCAGAGGCTGCGGACAGCTTCACAGTGCTGTGCTTAACCCTTTGTGCCACCAAGAAGCCCCTCCATTTATTTTTACTCTAGAACCCAAGGAGCCATAATCTTTAAAGGTAGAAGATTTCCTACCTAGTGTTGGGGACATAGTCACAGATTCCTAAATTCCCCAAAGTCTGGCTTTTCTCATTTAACTGATGTTTGCTTTCCAGATAGGGTGTCTGATCTGAAGACCCATCTCCTTCTGGTGATGGAGAAGACTCGTTTTATCTTTTATGTGAGATCCACTCTTGACTCTGATTGGAGAGGCTTGTCCCTTATTTGTCCCAGATGAAAATCCATGTCCAGTCTCAGCCCAATATCCTGAACATTCACACAAGAGAGGAACCCTGACAGTCATGGGGTGTGTGGTCACTTCACAACCTCCAAGTGCTTTTCTATTCATCCTTAACTTGTAGCCAAGATGGATTGTACTCATTAGGTTTTTGATTCATGCATCTTGGGACAGAACACCTGCTAAATGCTTCAGGAAAGCTAGAAGTACATTGACATTTGGAGGAAGGACACAGGTGTTAGTATCACATCACACTCCTTCTACCATCTCCTGCCCATTTCAGCTATTACCAGATGCTATCGTCCAGCAAACTTCTCCTTCCTAAGACATAGCCCCAACTCTTCTCTCTGCAGCCCTTTCTACTTTTGAAGTAATTCATTTTCAAATGTATCTTCTCAGAATTGCATGGTGTGCAGAGGCAGGTTTTGCTTTTTTCAGTTTGTTTTAACGTAATTATTTAAAATAAGGATTTCTTTTTTGAGTATAATGAAAATCAACATATATTGTGCTCCTTGGAAATTAATTCCTATAACTGCATAGGAATTATGGGGGAACTTCCTAATAATTAATCTTCTTAAGTTTTAAAATATCTGAAAACACTAGTATGAATTGATTCAGAAAGATTATTTTTATCCAGATGGTAAAAATATTTTGCTCTATTTACCCAATTCTCCAGACATTAATAGTTTCTCTATCTAATCTAATTTAC